TATCTCTGTTAGCAAATAGAGGAGTTTATATCTGGAGGGCTCATAACCGGGGGGGGGAGGGGGGGTTGGCTTTAATGTGGGATTTTATGGTATATCAACTTGCCCTATAAAAATACTATAACACTTAGTATTTAGTGATACTATCCACTTAAATGTCAAATAGGATTCAGTTATTCAGGTAATCTTAATAATTACAAATAATATGCGATCAAAGTTATATATGCAAATAGGTTTCCCATTTAATGTCAGGTGAGATAAGAAAAATCTTTCTGTCATTAGACAGTTAAATAACATCATCCATTTTTCCAGGTTTTACTGAAGTTTAATGATGCCCTTTTATACTCCAGTGTAAAAAGAAGACTCAGAGATGAGATGACAGTCTGTAAGTGAACCCAGGACACATGATCCAGAGAACAGCCTTCTAACTGTTGGTCCACTGTAGTTATACATGTCAACATTAAATCTGAGGAAACCCACTTTGAATTTTTTTTCAGCATTGGCAAGTTTACAAAGAAATTTCAGAAATTTTCATATTGGTTCCTGCTCTGCTTGGACTGAAAGGAAATCTGGAAATGACATTAGCATCACGACTTTCAACTGCTGTACGTAAAACGTTTTCTTTCTGGTGCCAATTAAAACCTGCAGTCAGACTTAATCACAATTAAAGATACTTAATTGTTGTCACCAGGCAATTTGTTTGTTAACTCATCATCATTACGTCCTTTTCCCCAGAGGAGATATAGCGTCTTGCGTTCTCGCTTGCCAAGCTTCTCGGTTCTTAGCACGCGTACCAACATCTAGCCAGCCTTTGAATCTGACCTTACCCCTTTCTCTTGAGCACCATTGGGTGAGTTCTTCTCCAAGTTCCCTAGGCTTACCTCTCTGACATCTTCCTTCTGGTGTTTAACTACAGGACTGGTATAAGTAAATAATGACGCTAGTCTATTGATATAATGTTGTTTCCATTACTTAGGCTAATGTTGGAAGCATGGATTGTGCGAAAAGGCAGTGGAAATTAATAGGAGGAAATATAGCATTAGTGCAGGTAAAGTGTTGCTTTGTAAACCATATGATTGCTGAATGGAAGACTGCAGCTTAGGCAGTCGGAAGCTTGTGTCTTTTTTTAATATTAGAGTCCGAGAATGTTTTTAAATTTTGCCATATATTGAATATCAAAGCAAGCAAAGACTAAATACAATTTCCATTAGTGAATTTGTTACTTCAAAATGCTTGAAGCTTTGTATACAGATTTTGATAATGTGGCTTTGCTAGCTATGTTATGTCTAAAATAAATGTACAATCTACTTATGAGTGCATTGTTTAAAGGTTCAAGCTACTGTAGTTGGAGCCTTGGCGGCATTTGCAGCTGTGATCATGGGATGGGTTCTTGATGGAGAATTCAACATTTATCATGCTACACTCCTTTGCGCAAGCAGCTTGGTTACAGCGTCACTAGCAAGCTTCATTCTCGGCTCTGTGACGGTCGCAGTTGTGCTTTGTTCGAGGAAGTGTAACATTAATCCTGACAATGTAGCTACACCCATTGCCGCCAGTCTTGGAGATCTTACCACACTAGCACTTTTGTCTGCAGTCAGCAGATTTTTGCACAGCTGTGTTCAAGGTAAGTTTTAAATTAGGTCTTACACCTGTGGGTCGGAAGCTTTGATCTCGCACATGCATACAGATGTCCAACTCTAGGCACGGTGACCACTTTTTACAGATATGCCAACTTGGTCCATTCTGAGAAAAGAAAAACTTGTTTAAGTAACACTTACCTGCTTGTTCCAACTTCTCGTTTGGGTCTTTGGCATTTCAGTACTCAACATGGACTATCTAGAGTGTATTTGTAAAATCTGTTGGTCATGTTCTGGAAGCTCTGACTAGAAATCTTTACATTCTCTTTGAAAATAACTCCTATGGCTGACACAGTCAAAATTAAGATCTCATGCATTTGTTTAAGAAAAGTTGACTGGTATATATACAGTAGATAAAATGGTATTAAAGCACAGTATAAAACGAATGGATTGCATTTGAAACTAAATGACAATGACCAAGTTTGTTCCTGTCTTAGGGTATCAGATGAAGTAGAGACTTTTGTCTTGTAATTTATACAACCTAGAAGAGCGTCATGTATCTGACAAACTTTGCCTCATCCTTCTAAATACATGTAACAGTAACAAATTATGTGCTTGATTTTTTAATGCAGATTCTGAAGCCGGCACACATCACTGGATCACACCTGTCATAAGTTTGTGTTTCTTTCTTGTTCTTCCTCTGTGGGTCTACATCACGCACAACAATACCTTCACTCATGATGTCTTGTATACTGGCTGGACGCCAGTTCTCAGTGCCATGGTCATCAGCAGGTATAAACTTGATTATAGCAGTTGATCAGTATCAAATCAAATTTCCTTACTGCTCTTATAATACATTGTGTATCGGATTCTCTAAACATAGTCATGTGTATTGTCTTGGTGTGTTTTGAAATTCTCAAACTAGCATTAAAAGAAATGTATGGCAGGTGTTTAGGAGAATTTAGATTCTGTATGGAAGGTGCATTCCTGAATGCAAGTGTGAGAGTGTGTACATGTGATTACCTCAAAGGAACTCCCAGGCTCATTTGTCAGACTCGGATTTTTTTAATGTTGCTTGTAGTACTGGAGGTCTAATTCTTGATTATGCTGTGGCAAAATACCATGGAATAGCAGTCTTCAGCCCAGTCATGAATGGTATGTTTTCTGTCTGAATCACTAAACACATTTGGATTTACATTACAGTACTGTAGTGATAGAAAATTAGTCGACAAGTAATCTAGACTCCTTCTTTGTTACTATTTGCCTCACATTATAGAAACCAGTGAAGGCTGTTGAAATGAAGCTATGTAACCTAGTGTGGTTACGTCTTGTGATAAAGTGATGGTGACAAAGATTTTTGCATGTAAAGTAGCTAGTCCGGGATAGGGTAGGGTTTTTTGGTGCCTAGTCTAGAATAGCGTTGCAAAATCTTGCTGATCATGATCTAGTATAGGATAAGGATTTCAGTGTCCTAACGGCACATCCCCCCTACCCAAAGCTTCACAGAGTATCCCCTGGGGATCTCAGGGGATTTTAAATCCTACACTACACAGTTAATACTCTAAGTAGACGGGTTGCTCTTGAAACTAGACGGTCCTTTCTCAGGTCATAAGGACGCCCGTTTACGGGAAGCTCCGTTCTAAAGTAATCAATTTGTTCTCAGGCAAGATTTGTGTTGAATTGTTCTGTAAGGTGTGGGTGGTAATTTGGTCGCTGTCCAGGTCAGTCGCTTGTCCACTGGTCTACATCAGCACGGTAAACCTGGAGAACGTCAGGAGTCAAGTAAATTTCATGGCTGCATCGACACATTTTTCGGCTCAGGTATGATCACATGATCTTCCAAATGACAGCAATGTACACTTCCAGATCGATGGACTAATAACTAGATGGCTAACATTTATGTTATATGTTTTGCTTGCTACTATAATTATAATTGAGAAGATCTCTTGTTCATTCAATTTCTGTCTGTCGGCTTGCAATTACCTGTGACTAGAACGTGTGTAACCATTAACACTGATGTGTAAACACTGGTATGCTGGAGTGAACCTTGCCTTGTTCCCGTGCAGCTTTCTTCCAGGCCTTCAAGGTCAATTAATTTGTGAACCGTCACGCGGGTAGAACTTCAACGCTTATAAAGCCATTTGAAACCCAACAGCGTATTACGTATTAAATTTTT